GGGCGGGGTGGCCGAATGGGCTAACCCGTGTGCAGTGCACCGCTGTTGCTTGGCAACCTGATACATAAGACTTTGATAAAAAAATAGTCACGAGTTTGCGTCCCGGAGCCCGGAGGAGTTTTTAAATCCCCGCCCACACTCCCTGGCTGGGGAGAACCCCCGTATAGCCTTAAAGGCGAGGAAGGGAAGAACAGAAAAAAAAAAATTATTAGTTTGTTCTCAATGTAAGTAAGTCTATATAGTTGTCTAAATCACCGGTTAAGCTCCTCTCTTTTAAGTCTTAGGAGGGATCCATGGCATTATCTTGTCTAGATGAAAGCACAGGTGTCTGAAAAAGAAAGACTGTATCTGAGAAAGGAAGATATATTGAATTAAACTGATTTGTGCTCAGAATGTGCGTAGGAGTGTGAAAGTATGTTCGCATTTAATAATTTTACTTTAATGCGCAATTCGTTTCACCACTGCTCAATAAGGGAAAGATGCCTTTCCAGATTGGCGGTATTATTAGCAAACGTTACCAGGAAGATATTGGGTTTTGCAGAAGTATCGTCCATAATAGGTCCTTGTGGAACATCAACCTCAAATGGGTAATTGGAGAATTCATTATCGCAGCGGACTCAAAAAGAGCGATTTGAGAAGTAGGGTTTGAGGACTAAGTACAAGGTTTAGGGTAAATGAATTTTGAGCTTTAAAAGCAGATTATCGTGCCACACCCGATAATTCAATAAAATAATTGAAATGCTTGCGCTACGTCCTATCAAAGGCGCCGGTGAAATATTGCTTGCATTCTAGTGCAGAGAATATTTGATAAACAACACGATGACGTTGTTGAACTGTCAATTATTATTTAATAAATAATTCATTTCATTCAATTTAACTTGAATCTTATTTCATGTACGATTATTTCACGAATAATAATTTCACAGTTGTCGATCTATTATTTTTAAAAAAATGTATTCAAATAATTTTAAGTTTTTGAAAAAAAAAAAATGCCACTTTACACATACAAACCCGAAGTACCACTTTATATCAACGCTGATACACATTTTTACAATTTTCTCAAAAAACGGCTATAAACGATTTTGATTATACTCGGTGTATCATTGTATAATTAAGTGGTCTTTAATATCATTTAGGTCTTATCTCAGTTGATTTCACTTTACAGGGCTTAAATGTCCAATGTTCATATGCGTCCTCCTCTGAAGTACCTTTAATATGGTTTATTTTAAATAATCAACTCTCTCTGATTATTAAAAGTTGCGAAAGAATCCTAAATATAACTTTTGAAAGAATTTGATAATTGAATAAACGTCAGCGGTTAAAACTTAAACTAAAAAGCTTTAAAAAAAATTGGGTAACTTTGCTCGCGTCCGTACATTGTACACGTGCTCTTCGGTTATAACTAAATGAGCAATATTGTCGCCGCAAAGACAGTTCAACAACAATGGATTCATGGCGGAGTTGTATTGGGCTGCCAGGAGCCGAATGGCCTAATAGCCAAAGGCAGAGAGGCATTTAATAAAAAAAATAATTGAATAAAGGAGAAAAAAATAAAAATACTTATACAGGTAGAAAATGAATCACCGAAAATACATGTCAGAAGGTATACTTATAATATATCATTGGAAAGCGAAGAATTTTAGAAAAAAAACTATATCTAATATAGAAACTTGTAGAATGTAACGGAAACTGGCCATCAAATTATAAATAATAATTTTTGAAAACTGATAATATTTAACTTAAATCACATGTTTTGAAGTAAATGAAATTTACTATCTAAATATTTTTACGTATTTTAGTATTTAAAAATCCACCTAATCAAGACCATTGTTAAAAAAACTATTTCATTGTACTTGTGTGAAAGAAAACTAAAATATAAAATCATTTCATGGATGTATAAAGCATATATTTATAACCTAAAATACATTTGTTGTGGTTTAGTGATTATATATCTGATATTATATTTAAATAGTTAGGTTTCAACGTTAATACCGAAAAATTGTCATGTAACTTTTTAGAAAATTAAATTAGTGAATAATTTGATGAATCTTCCGTTTGTGATATTACAACAGTATCCACTACTGTTTCATTGTACTTGTGTGAAAGAAGAAGTGAAACATAAAAATATTTCATAGATGCGTTTATAACCTTAAATATATTTGCTGTAGTTTAATAACTCTAGATCTGATATTATATTTAAATATTTAGGTATCTATCGTCCATTTATTCCGAAAAATCATCTTGTAACCTTTTGGAAAATTAAATTAGTGAATAATTTGATAAATTTTCCCTTAACAATCCACTTACAATTAGTGTAACAACTTTTGACCAGTCTAAGACTGACAATGCAAATCTCTTAATTCCGTTTTAATGCAATGGAAAATAACAGTTTAATAACTAATAGTCGTACAATCCATAATCAACCGGTGCAGGACTTTTGTATATTAATAGTATTTATGATTTGTTAGCTGCCACCTTTTAGCTTTAGCTCAGTTAAAAATGTAATTCAAAAATTTTATAATAGCCCAACATGACCAGAAAATAATTTCTATTCAAAGTTAAGCAAAGTTCAAAGAGTAAGTGAAAGTTGTGTGTTGCGCTCACCAGATTTTTATGATTTAGCTAATTTTAAGGAACTCCTGTGAAAAATAATTTTGGAAGAGCTTGAAGTTTGCTTCATTGAAAGTTTTTGTTTTAAAAACGGTGTCAATTTGGCCTTAAACGGTCATGTCGTGTTTAAATGTGCGATTTTTTTGATTGAATAGATCGAGATGAATTGGCCTTAAAATTAATCCAATATTTCTAGTTACAGTAGACTGCAATGTTTATTTTTAAGTTATTTTGTTCTTATTTTTCTTATTCTTATAAGTTAATTACTGACATATTTCCGAAAATAAATTATTTATGTTGTATGATCAACTAAAAACGGTTTCTGTTTTATATTAATCATAGATTGGATAATTTTTTTCCCACAAGACCATTTTAAGTCAAAAATATATCGATTGATTGGAATGTGAGCTTATTAGATAATAGTGACTCACAGGATTCCTTTCATAATGTGAGAAGTCCTAAAAATCTCGATTATTGCGGAGAAAGATTTTCTACAATTGTCATTGTTTCTATTATATGACGAAGAAAAATATGTTAGCCAAATTCAGACTCTATTGTACATATTTTTCAATACTTTAATTAAATTCAACAACAAGAAAATCTGGCCCTAGACGGATAGCTTCAACCTTATTGGGTATTGATAGTTTTAATCCAGAGAACGTAAAAATTGTCATGTCCATTTGGCACCTCTGTGTGCAGTCCGTTATGAAGAAACTTTTCAATCAAAGTCTAAATAGAAAACTAAATAACGCGCGGTACTCGTTCATAATCTCTAAGTATCCAAAATAATATTTTCGTATATTTAGTGAATCGCCAAGAGAATTCATGAAAAAAATAAATGAAGAAAGGAAAATTGTTTTCAACGGATCTAAACGTCTCTGAGTGTGTTTTGAAGCCTATTTTTTGAAAGGTCATTAAATTTCTGACAAAATTGTCAAAAACCATCTGAATCGGACCATTTTTAGAAAAGTTACAGTATATTGTCTTTTATAAGCTCATTTTAACTGTGGTTCACTTGCCCGTTTACGTTGTTTGGTTCATCCAAGAAATCGTACTCAAATGATTTCGCTGATTGGTTTTTAGGAAAATGACTCTAATTCAATTGTTTTTTTTTTTTTTTTTCTAATGGACACGTTTAAAGTTGTATTTTTTTTATTTTTTTTTAGATAGATAGGAAAGTCGTGTAAGTGGACACACTAGATTTTTCATTAAAAATCATTGGTAAAAATATATAAATTGTCTTTACTCTTCATCTTTTCCGTTGCATATAACCGGAGGGATGGAGGAGGGTTGTCTTTATCTTTCTTAATTCTTAACTTTGTTGATTTAGTTGAACTATACTATGTTTACGTCAATAAAACATCTAAATGTACTTATTTTATAGCGTTTTCCTAAGATTTAATATAGTACCATATTTGATAAATAGTCATAAGATGATAGGTAACTGCAAGACTCTTGCGAGACTCTTGTGCAAGACCAAGACCAAGACCAGGGCCGAGTGCGCAAAATTAAGATCAAGGTTTGTTGACGCAAGACCAAGACTGCCTCGTTCTCGTCTTGGTCTTGGGGTTTGGGCAATACTAGTAATAACTATGTATATATTCGAAAAATGATGTTTCAGCTGTGTTAGCATTCACAAGTTCCTAATTCTGTCCAGCTCATACCATTATGTAACAAAAAAGAACGTCAAACCAGCTTCATTTCTTTGAAAAACAGTTTTCATTTCTTCTCCTATTATCTCACATCAGGGCATTATTAGTGCATAAATTAAGTTAAAACTTGCTGGCTATGACGGAGAAACGATGCTAGTTTGTCACTAATGGAGTCAAACTTCCAAATTTTAACTTTTGTTTCTTCTCCATAAGTCCAACATCAGCGTTAGCTCGCCCCAGTGTGCGTCATTGGGAAGAACGCTTCCAGATTTGTCATTGAGGACTGATGGCGTGGTTTCCATAGTGCCCGGTTCTGACCGTTGTGTGTTCGATCCCCACCTGAGTCCGTTAATTTTCATTTCTCAGCGACCCCGTGAAATGGATCATGTCAATCCAAGTCTGGTAAGTTCGCGGATGCAACCTCAAGATAGCAGGCAGGCTATGTAAAAAAGGACCACGATGTGCCCAATTGTGAAACTTAGTATTTAAAGCGGTTTGTGCTGGAGAACTGTCCTTTTGCACAAGACGAATAATCTTAAAATAATGATAAAAAATATCTTATTGTTTTTATTAAACCTCTTATGCTTCCAATTTGTTTCCCTTTGCAATACAATATATCGTTTTATCTTTTTGATAGTGAAGCATATATTACCATTTTAAAATTAAGGATAGGGGTAATTCAGCTATCTATGTACATATGTAAATATTGTATCATTGACTTAAAGGACTTCTACTCACGGTTGAGTTCATTAACAGATCCGTCCACGGACGCTACAGCCAGGACCACTGCAAGCTGATAGATGCTTGTTGTCAGTTCCATATCCGACTACCTGCTGCGGTAAAGGTGTTGCTCAACTAAATGATTCCCCTTCCACCAACATCGGTTATCTAGTTGCCAATTCGAGTATGACTAACTTTCCTTTTTATGTTTTTTCATTTCTTTATCATTTAATTATATATATATATATATATATATATATATATATATATATATATATATATATATATATATATATATATATATATATATATATATATATATAGATAGATATAGATATATATATATTTTGAAATAATTATTTTAATTTTTTAAGGTCATTGAATTATAGTACAATAAACTACAAATTATTCATTAATCTTGGTGTTTATTCGACGAGTCGATCTCCTCTTTTCTTTCTTATACTAATAATAGGATGCTCTTCAATGCTACACAATTGCTACATAATTGTTACACAATTATGTTCCAGATATTAATTTGAAGTTAAACATATAGTCCGTGGCACAGACCTATTTTTATCCAATTATTACCATCCGGCTAAAACTTGGTAAGATGTTTTCTCTCATCATAACCAACAAATATTTTATTTACGAAAATTCTCGGAATTGGGACATTTTCAATCTGGAGGTCGGCAAACTTTGTCCATTTAATTAGAAACTAAAAACTGGTAAATACTTGCTTTTTTTCTACGTGAAGATAACTTGAGCACAAATTCAAGTGGCCTTTAAAACTATTTAGCCGTTTGGCGTGACTTACACCCACAAATTGTCAAAATAATGAGGTTATATAGGCCAAACAGCTCAATATCTTCGAAGGTCACATTTTTCTCGATTTTGTGCTCAAGTTATCTCACGATTCACGTTGAAAGCAAGCGAGTATTTACCAGTTTTTAGTACCTGATTAAGTGGACAATGTTTGCCGACCTCCAGATTGAAAACGACACAATTCCGAGAATTTTCGTAAATGAAATATTTGTAGGTTTCGATTAGAAGAAGCTATTTACGAAGTTTCAGCCGGATATTAATAATTCTTTAAAAGGCGGTCTGTACTACGGTCTAATACTTTATAAAATCGAATCTTGATATCTTAAGCTATGTATGAATATATATATTTTACGTTTACTTTATGCTACTTCTTCTTCTCCTTCGGTATGTGTCCCTATCCAGGGTCTTTTCATCTCCCCTAGGGTCGATCCTAGCTCTCGTCCGAGTCTATTCTTATAACTATTATACGTGTTTCTCGGGCGTCCATACACAGAAAGATTACAACACAGTACACGAAATGATTCACTGAACAGATTGAAACGCAACTAACTTTTATTTTTACCAATTCGAGATTTTTACAAAAAGTTGCACACATAATATATGTTATATTTCTTATTGGGCGAGCTAGTGCACCAAATAGAGCAGCCAATCAGAAGCCAGGATTTCAGTGATGTCATCATGATAGGAAATTTGAATTTGAACTACAGCACGCTGCCTTTTTGGACCTCATCCCTGTCTTAACTACCACATGGCCAGTCACGTCACCACGAAGCTAAGCTGCTTTTTTACACAGTGGGCCAGATCACTAGCGGATCCAGGATTTAATTTTTGGGGGAGGGCTTCAGCCCGAAAGATTTTTTTTCTTCATATACATATAATGATAATTAATTTGAAAAAAAAGAAAGAAATTAACTGAATATGAAATGGTCTATGGAATAATAATAGATGGAAATCTATATGAAATGGTTCCTGAAGTGATATTAAATGTAATTATAGGAACAAGAATACTTTAAGAGATAGTTTTTAATATTTTTTTCTGTAAAACCTGGTTATATTTTACCATTTTAGGGGGAGCTTCAGCCCGAAAGCCCTCTCCGTAGACCCACCTACCGTGCACCCATCTCTCCCACACATCCCTATAAATTGCATATCGTTGTGTTCCTTGTAACTATTTATAAGAAAGAGAACCAAAATTCCCACAAAAAAGTGAACGAACTTCCCCAAAATGGCGTCCAAAGATGACTGACGACTTTGACTTTAGTTAGTTTTTTTGGTCATTGAGAATCGGCATTTGGCTTACTTTCGTCATAGTTGGTCTTTTACTAAAGCTGTATGGTTAAACAATAAGAAAGGCTTAGTTATAGTGCTAGAATAACGTTTTTGGTACATTATATTGATTGTATTAACGAACAAATATTAATGCAATAATTTAAGTGTCAACAAAAATTAAACAATTTTTTAAAAAAAATTATTCTTCAGAACCATCCAAATCCTCTCGTTTCTATAGTTTCTAACCTTTCTTCCTCTTCGATCCCTGACAACCCTCCAAGGCGTCTAAAAAGAAGATGGCCTCGAGATCTCCTTTTGTAAATACATTTTTAGAGTGCTACCAGTGGGTAGTTTCTCAAAAAGTGGTTTCATGTTATTATATTCTTTTGTTCACATTTACTGAATGTATTTTTATTTGTAATACAGTTGTAAATATCATCCATAAAAAAAAATAAATTAATAAAAAAAAATTATTATTTTGTATTTTATTTATTTTTAAAAATTTAATTTCTTTTATTTAAAGCACTCTCACTTAATCTCCACTGGGTTTAGCCCTAGTGACACGGTTGAGAGAGAACTGCAGGGATCTCCTGGAATCATGCTTTTTCCTCCACAGTTGGAGGGACAAGTCTGGCTCGGAGTTCTCTCGCCAGCTTGTAAATAGTATATCGGTATGTATCTGTTCTTTTTATTTATTTATTTTTAGTTTAGTTTATTCTTATTTATTGTATATATATTATTTTTCTGTATAATTTAATGTGATGTGTGAACACTATTACGAATGTCCTTTGAGACAGATTGTAATAGTTTTCAATAAATAAGTAAAATATAAAAAAAAAATATTTATTATGTACGGAGGTCGTTTAAGAAGGCATCTATTATAAAAATGATATAATTATAATAATAATTCAAGAATACTTTGATGAATATCTTTTTTTTTTTTTTTTGTAGTTACATATATTTATCCGCACCTGTCAATTATAACTATTGACAATCAGCAGATGTGCTGGCACAGTCATGAGAAGAAAAAATATTTAAAAAAAAAATAAATAAAAAGGCTTGATAGGCATGAGGAAAAGCAATACCCAGCGGCATACTTTCCATGGCTTTTACTTGCTTACATACAATTACGTAAGTAGGTCCCTCATCCAGATCCGTTTCAGTCGTCTTCTGGAGTTCTCCGGCATAATAGTCGTGGCCATTTCTTTAATTAGCTAGTTGGAGTGTCCATGTAATTTATTATGAAATCGTTTTTCGGAAGTTCGTATGTGTTCATTGATCGTTGGTATGTGTAAGTCAGTGTGTAAAGTGTTATTATTCACGTATCAGGGTGCTTGGGTAATTAGTCGCAGTATCTTAGATTGAAAAGTTTGAAGTCGTTTTATGTGTGTTGGTTTTGCAATTCCATATATTTGTAGTCCATAAGTCCAGAGAGGTTTTAATAGGTATGTATAAATATTTAATTTCTGTCTTGCTTTTAATTTAGAATGTCGTCTTAATAATGAATGCAATAGTTTTATTCTGTGATTTAATGATGCACGTTTTTCTTTACATGTGGACCCCATGTCAAACGTCACGCCTTGGTATTATACTCTTATTTTTATTTGTGGAATCGGTATGTTTTTTAAGTATACAGCAGGGCATGTTTCTCGTCTTAGAGTAAATGTGATGTGTTTTGATTTTTGATAATTTATTTGAGTTTTCCATAGTTTACACCAATTGTTTATTTTTTGTAAGTGATGTTGTAGGTTAAGTGATGCCTGTGTAGGATTATCGTGTCTAGTAATGATAGCAGTGTCTTCTGCGTAGGTTGCTGTAAGTATGTGGATACTTTAAGGAATGTCATGTGTGTATGTTATGTACAGTAGTAGGGCTAAGATTGACCACTGAGGTACGCCAAGGTACTAAAATAGGTCGAATTGAGGATAGACCTGAACCGTGTCGACCGGAGAAAAATCTGTCTGAGAGAAAGGGGTGAAGAATTAAGTAGTAGGTTGGTGGAAGTATGGTTCTAAGTTTGAAGAAAAGCCCCTGATGCCCCATACTTTGTCGAAAATTTGGGCGACATCCAGAAATACTCCGGTTGCATATAGTTTTCGATCTAGTGCTGTCGATATGTAGTCAGTTACCCTGTGTAATTTTTTTGTTGTTGAATGTAATTTTCGAAACCCGAATTGATGGTCAGGAATAATCTGTTTGTCTGTTAGTACATGTAATAGTCGTGAGTATAATAGTTTTTCAAATAATTTAGAACACACTGGAAGCAAACTAATTGGTCTATATGAAGAAGGATTGTTAGTTTCTTTGTCTGGCTTTTTAATCATGGTTATATGAGAGTATTTCCACTGTATTGGAAATTTTGTGGTCCTAAGAATGCAATTGAAGATTGTGGTGAGAAACACTAGAGCTTTCCTTGGCATTTGCTGGAGCGCCTCAGCATTTATCAAATCATGACCAGGGGTTTTTCTTTTCGGTAATTGTCTAATTTCTTGTGCAACTTGTGATGGTGTGAAAGGAGGTGGTAGTAGTGTGTGCTGTAGTGGTATGTATAAGTTATTTTGTACAAAAATATCATGTTCTGTATAAACAAAGTCCGTATGTGATTTAAAAACAGAGGAAAGATGAGTAATAAAGAGTTCAGATCTTTCTTCGTCCGAAACAGCTCAAGAACCATCCTCTCTTCGTAGGGGTGCTGACACCTCACGATGCATTAAAAGATTCCTTGTGTGTCTCCATAAACTTCTATCGTCCGTCGAAAGGTTGTTAATAAAACTGTCGTAGTTTGTGCTTTTGAATTTTTGAATATGTCTTTTAAATATGTCGTTCGTTGTTCAATCTGTTAAAACTTTGTCTGTCTGAAGGAAGTCTATTAGTCTACCACACTTTACGAGCTCTTCTCTTTGCCCTGATTAAGTCCCTTATGTACATAGGATAATGGGGCAAGTTCACTGCTCTTTGTGACCTAGATGTTGATGAGGACCATGCTGCATCTTGTATACTTTTTGTAAAAGTTTCAACGGCTCCTTCTAGTTCCCCTTG